AATTAATATTAGTACATACCATTAATATATAAGTTAAATATTAATGTTGGTTATCAACTAAATGAGTTTGCATAATTTTTTAAATTTTGTACATGCCATTTTCTTTTAATATAATTGATGACATATAATAAAAGTAAAATTATTGTCATATTATAAATGATTAATGTTAAATTTTTTTAATATAATTACGTATTATATTATCATATTACATGTTTAAATTATATAATTTTTTTCTTTTTTAATAAATTAAAAAATATAATAATTAATTAAAATAAAAAAGTATGATATTAATATTTAAGAACATGAAAAAAAATACTTATATAATTACAATTCATACCATAAAATAAAAAAAAGTTATGAAATAAGAAATCTATTAATATATTTAATTATAATGTTCACCTAATATAATTATATTTAATACCATTTAATTCATAAATTAAATTTCAAATAAAATCAATGATCTTGCAATTAATTTCAATTAAAATTTAATTATTTATATTTACTTATTATATACATTTCATTATTAAAATTTACCTTGCAATTAAATAAATAAAAATTTCCTTAACAACGTTTCTCGTTTCTCAATACTTAAACACAAAAAATTTTCTCATCATCCAAACACAAAATGAAACAAATTTTTCATAGTCCATTTCATATTTTACAAGAATTCAAGTAAAATTTACCTATAAAAAAATCTAGATTATTCACCTAAATCCTCACTTCCTGTTATGGTACCAAATTGCAAACTAAATGTTCTTTTCCCTTTTCATTTCAAATGCTAAACAACATGTAAGATGGAGGAAAGGGGCTGATTTGAGGAAGAAGAGGAGGAAAGTTTTATGAACATAAACCCAGAAATGCATTAAGGTGAAGCAAGTTATTTGGGTTCATGAACACAAACCCAGATCTGGGTTTGTGTTCATGAACCTAGAGTTTGGTTCACTAACAAAAACTCAAATCTGGGTTCACAAACATGAACCCAAAGAAAAAGATGAGACGAGAGGGTAGAAAGAATCTCAGCAGGGGAAGTAGACACAAAAAAAAAAATTGAAAAAATAAAAGGAAAAAAGGAGAAAACAGTTGGAGGCGAGGGAGATAATGGAGAACAGTTACTGTAATAATGGAAGAGAGGGAGATAATGGAGGAGATGCTAGAATAATGGAGGAGATGGAGAAGTTATTTGCTACAGTATACTAGGTAAGAGGGGAATTTATGTGATAATAAAGAGTATTTATGTGATATTATAAAGGTAATAAATATAATTATAGGATTATATACAGAGTTATATATTCACCTGTTGCTGCGAAAAATTAAAAATTATTATGAATTCCAGTAGATAGTCGACTCTATGAATGTAAATTCAACTCTTATAAGCACTGGAATCAACTCTATTATACAAAGAATCGACTCCCAAATTCTAGAGAACAGCGAAACATTTTGGTGCAGAACAGAGTCGACTCTTTGACAAAGAGTCGACTCTTAATGCTGCAGGGAAATAAACTCTTCTCCATTCAAAGTCGACTATTATTTTCTAGAGTCGATTGTTTTGCTTGTAAGAGTCGACTCTCAAGTTATAGAGTCGACTCTTTGGCGCGGGATTTGATTAAAACCGCTCCAGTTCCAGATTTCCCCATTTTCCCTCTCTCTCCTATTCAACTCTCTGAGAAACCTAACACTCAACCCAGCCAAAATCCACCCAAATTTCACCAAAATAACTCACCCAAACACAAACCCACACCATTTTCGGTCCATTTCTCTAAGATTCGTGCATAGTCATACAAAATGGTGAGGACTAAAAAAGTTGTAAACAAAGCAAGGGAGCAGGCGGCAAGCACGTCTTGAAGGCGTCGAATGGTTAAAAATAATTAAGGTTTAACATTAATAATTTTCTACTAAACTAAAAGATGAAAGAAAATATGTATTCATTCTATTATTAAGAAATAAGTATTACCTGATTCTTTGCTAAAGTAAAAGAAAAATTAAAGATTAAAATTTAGCTACACCTAACTTCCTATGAGAATTTTTTAAATTTTAACTTGGTTTCATAATTTGACCAAATTAAAAATAGTCCCTACCACCACTCAAACAAGTCCAAAAGTGCCCTAACTATTTACAAGCCAAAAGAGAGATCAAAATATCGGTAATTTAAAGCAAAGGTTAAATTTGAACATGCTGTTAGTGGGTCTGGAAATGATCGTTTAACAGTTAAAGATACTGAAAGTTAAAAAAGCCGTCCTTAACAAAAAAGCCTTAAGATTACCACGTCTTGGCTTTAGTCATCTTGCACCATATATATTCGCATTGGGGGGATTCTCTTTCAATTATGAGGATTGCTAGCCCAAGTCAAACTAAACGGTAGTTCATGCTGGTCATGACTCAGCTAGCCACTCAGCTAGCCACAATCAAAACTAACACTCCAAAGTCTCCATTCATTAATATAGCCACCACTCACTAGTCACTCTTCTTCACCTATTTAAATTTGTTGATTTTTGGCA